GGCCAAGCCGGTCATGCCATAAAGTGAATTTCTCGATGAACTCTTTGTTCATTGCCATATTAGCTTCGATCATATCGATTTTAGCATAGTAGAGACCAGTGGATAATGCGGGTATAGTCTCTAGGACTTTCTTATGTCCTTGGGTGATCTCTTTGTTCCCTTCACCCTTTGTTTCAATATGGAAACCATTCAATCTTATATCTTTGAAACTTAATAAGCTCCTCTTCGAGCTGGGTGAATATAGGGCATCGCTTAGTTCAAGATGCGTGCCATTTGGTAATAGAATATGGGCTTGGCCGTAGCCCTCAATAAGATTTGCTATACCCGCTAAGTGCTAATATTGGCATTTTTCATTATGAGATTTAGTAAAATATCTCTTATCTTTTGTGTGGCTCCACTATCCACCACAATTATGTTCTTGTCCTCGGCCATTTCTTATATGGACAAGAATCATGTTCTAAACATAAAATAATATAAAATAAATTCAAGCAAATAACAATCAATAAACACATAAAATGCAAAGAAAAGCATAGAGGTTTTGATGTCGAAGTAAGATTTATCAACTTGATTCTTTTATGCAATCAGAAGTTTCATACTCTATTAGATCATCTTGATCATGTTCACCATCTTTATATACCAAATGGGCTTTAGGATTCTTCCCTTTTACACTCTCTTGATAGAGGTCACAACGATGTTTGGAAGTCCTACATATCTTAGCCCAATGGTTTCCCATTCCATATCTATGGCATACTCATTTGGTCGAGTGTTGTGGTTTGGAAATACCACATCGTCCTCGCCCTCGACCACGGCCGGAATTGGGTCTACATCCACGGTTATAGTGGTTCCCACGGCCGGATGAGTTATAGTGGCCATAACCACGTCCTTTCAATACCACATCTATGGCATACTCATTTGGTCGAGTGTTGTGGTTTGGAAATACCACATCGTCCTCGCCCTCGACCACGGCCGGAATTGGGTCTACATCCACGGTTATAGTGGTTCCCACGGCCGGATGAGTTATAGTGGCCACAACCACGTCCTTTCCATCCACCACGGTCACGGCCGTGTGGTCTATCACTTTAGACGTGGTTAGATTCTTTGGATTCTTTCTTATCCTCTGCGGCCTTATTGGCATTAGGTAATGCGGTTAATCTATGAGGTCGTAATTCACTGTTTTTATCTGTAAGTCATTATTTTGCTCATCTAGCAATAGACTCATCCACGGACTTATAGTCCTGGATTATGAGACTCTCAATAAGATGGTGGCTAATATTGCCTTGTATCTATCTTTCTCTCTTGCCATTCTTGCCTTATTAGATACATTCATCAAGTCCTTTTGACTTTAGGATAATCTTAGTATCCATTGCCTATTTTAAAATAATTATCTCCTAAGAGATTTAGGGCAGTAAAGTACAAGTTGTAATTCAACATCTACAAGGAAAAGTTTTGAGTCAAAATCATGTAATCGTTAGTGTCATGCGGTATTTGAGACCGAACCATGAATCGATTTACTTAGGGATTTGACTTTCCTCTTTTGCTTAGGATTAGATTTCCTCTTTTGATTAGGATTAACTTTTCCTTTTTCTTTTAGGATTTACTTTCCTCTTTACTTTATGATTAATTTTCCTATTTCACTTATGATTTTAGATTTTAAGATTTCCTATTTTTTATTTAAGATTTTAGGATTTCTTATTATTCCTAGGATTTAGAGTTTTAAGATTTTCTATTATCCCTAAGATTTAGGGTTTTAAAGATTTCCTATTATCTAGGGTTTCCTATTTTATTTAGGATTTTAAGGTTTCCTAGATTTTAGGGTTTCCTATTTTATTTAGGATTTTAGGTTTTAGGGTTTTGAGATTTCTTTTAGGATTATCTTTTCTAACTTTTCTAGGGTTCATGCAATTTTAGTTTTAGGGTGTTAAGCATGTAATCAATCAAAGGAGCAAACAATCTAACAACCTAAACAATCTCAATCAAGCCGATTTAAACTTATGGAATTTTTTGGATTAGATTCGTTTTAGGTTTTAGGTTTTTAGACCTTTAAAGTTTCGGTTATTAGCTTATGTATTTTCGTTCTGCGATTTTAGGTTTAGATAATTAAAACTTCTCTAGCAACTTAGGCGATTTTAGCATAAGCAATAATCAACTTTTCTAGCAACCTAAACGAGTCAAACAAAGGGATCTCACAAGCAATAGCAATCGCTTAAACAATCAAGATTCGTTTTAGTGTCTTAGCCGTTTGTTAAGTTCAAGTTCATGATCGGTTTTTACAAGCGAAAAACAATCGTTTATACAATCAAGATTCGTTTTAGGTTTCCACCGTTTGTTAGATTCAAATTCAAGTTGGGTTCTTTAGCTTTAAGGTTTTGATTTTACCTTTCACCTTATGGGGTTGTATGGACTAGAACCGGGAGCTAAAGACCTCGGTAACTCACGCTGCTGCAACGAACAGCAAACAGTACCATGATGAACAGTGCCGCGATGAACAGTGCCGCGATGAACAGTACCGTGATGAACAGTGTCGGCGATGAACAGTGTCGGCGATGAACAGTGTCGGCGATGAACAGTATCAGCGATGAACAGTACTGAGATGAACTGTGTCGGTGATGAACTGTGCCGAGATGAATAGGGTTAGGGTTTTAGGGTTTTCGTTAAGAGCAAGTCGTGCTGATAACGTGTTATAAAACTTGTTGTTCTATTGATTAATGAATGAAGTTTCGATACATATCTACTTAACATTTTTGAAGTACAAATTTGCTCTTTCCAATCGGGTCGGATTTTTTTTGTGATTTTGACCCGGAAATCTTCAATCGGATCTTTCCTTATTTTTGGCAAAATTCAAAAACGAAATTAATTAATAAATTCTAAAAATATATATTTTCTCAACTAATTACTACACCTAAACTCTTTATTTATGGCATATTCTTTCTTATTTTTATATATAAGGAAACCAAATATGATGATTTAATGCTAATATAACAAATTTGAGCTAATTTCTTAAAACTTCTCTACCTAATTTAAACAAAAATATATGATTCTCATTTCACTTTTATTTGATTTATATTTATATTATTTTGAATTATTATAAAATATATACAGTTAATAAAATTTTATATTTTTTTCTACATATGCTATGTTTCAAATTTTTTAAAACGGATATATATTACTCAATCAATAAAGAAAAAAATATGTGTACAATCTAAAGTACATATTTGCTCTTTTTTTGGGTCAGTTTTGTTTTTTTTTTTTTTTTTAATTTTGACCCGGATTTTGACCCTCAATTAAGTCTTTCGGATCCAAATAATGAGACTTTCCAAAAAAAATCCTAGCAATTTAAATGATTGATTTCGTATATATATGTAGTTATTACTAAATATATATCTACTTAACATTTTTGAATTATATTTTTGCTCTCTAATCGGGTCGGTTTTTTTTTTATGATTTTGATCCGGAAATCTTCAATCGGATCTTTCCTTAAATTTTGGCAAAATTCAAAAACGAAATTAATTAATAAAATCTAAAATATATATATTTCTCAACTAATTATTATATCTAAACTCTTAATTTATGGTATATTCTTTACAATTTTTATAGATAAAGAAATCAAATATGATGATTTAATGCTAATATAACAAATTTGAGCGAATTTCCTAAAATCTCTCTAATTAATTTAAACATAAATATATGATTCTCATTTCACTTTTATTTGATGTTATATTTAAATTATTTTGAATTATTATAATATATACATATAGTAAATTTTAGTTTTTTCTGCATATGTTATGATTCAAATTATTTTTAAACGGACATATATTACTCAGTTGATGAAGAAAAAAAAGTATGTGTGCAATTTATATTATCATTTTTGAAAAACAAATTGCGCAATTAATTAGGTCATTTTTTTTTATTCTGACCCGAAATTGAGTCATTCGGATCTTTTCTTAATTTCTACAATTATCTAAAACGGGAGAGTATACCACGGGTGAAATCCTAAAATTAAAAATCAAAATAACAATTGTAAATTATTTTTACGGGTTGGTCCAAAAACACATAATTTATAAAATATATATATATATATGTATATATATATATATTTATATATATATTATGAAAACCATTTGAAAGCAAACTTTTAAATTGATTCGAATTATATGTCTTTTAAAAAAAGTGTTATTAAAAAAATAACAAAATGATGTTTAATTTCACAGAACAGAATTATATGGTAGGATGGGTTTGGGTCGATATTAATATGGGAAAATATACCACGGGTGAAATCCTAGAATTAACAAATCAAAATATAATTATACAATCTTAAACACTAAACAAAATAAATACAACTTAAAATTTTTATTTTTTAGATACAACGCATATGATCTGCGATACAACAGGAAATATTATACACAACAAATTCATTAGTTTATAAAAAGAATAAAAAAAATCAAATAATTAACCCGCGGTGTACCGCGGGTCATATCCTAGTATATACATAAAGAGGGGAGACAAATCCCCATTGGGCTAGTAAACCCTAAAGCCCAAAAGCCCACTAAGTACAATATAGGCCGTCATAAGGAGAGTCTTCTAGAACATGGGCATGGGCCTTCTAGGACATGGACATGGGCCTTCTAAAATATGGATAAGACCCACGGTTATGGAGTCCATCCAACATGTAATTTATAACACAATCCACTAATTGCCAATTGATTTTTAGTTGGAAGCCTAGAAATAGCCCAAATTTAACATGGTATCAGAGCCCAAGGTTCAAATTCTGGTGGACCTAGAAATGTGGATACGGACATACCTCAAACCTGAGTAATGGGGGCCCGAGAAAGGGGCTTATTATCGGTCCGAGTGAGGGATCGAGGAGGTGTGTTAAGAGGAGGTGTGTTAAGATCCATGTGGTCCTTGGATTGAAGGGGAGATTGTTGGAGATACAATCCAAGTCCCACATCGGAAGTTTGATGGGACAATCAATAATATATAAAGGGTTAGGGCCAATCCACTAATTGCCAATTGGTTTTTAGTTGGAAGCCCAGAATTAGCCCAAATTTAACAGTTGTTTTGTTCACCACCTTGGTTACAAATTACAATCAATGGTGAATAAGGAGAAACAATATACATGTTCTTAGTATAAATGGATCTTTATTACATGAAAATGTAAACCTCGTCGTCACCGCTCCTGCAAAAAAATCATTGAGATAGATCATATATGATCCAATATTTGTTTTAACTTTTAACATACAGCAAAAATGTAAGGATTGGAGTGGCTTTTTTTTGGTTTTACCCTTTGTATCCGGAGTATGTAGGCTTGTAATTGTAGATGAGATTGCTCAGCACTTTCTCAGAAGATGGTCTGTTCATTGACTTTCTAGCTTCACTACACCAAAATTCAAATAAGAAAATTAAACCACTACATAAGTCTTTTACTGAATCTTCCTACATTGATCAATAGAGAACTAACCTGACTAGATAATTTGCAGCATACTGAGTCACCTGAATTGCGTCCTCAGAGTGTGGGATTTCGGATGATCCCCATTCGAATGCATTTTTCTGAAGAGTAATATTGTAACTTTGTAGGGATCTTTTTTAGAAAAATATATCCATTATAAAGCAATATAGCACAGAGAAAGATAAGTTAACTAAGGATTGAGAAGACTAACGAAAGACAGAAGTTAACTAAGGATTGAGAAGACTAATGAAAGACACAAATTAACTTGTGTGTAATACCTCTGGATGCCACTGGAAGGCGGTCACAGGGTATCCTTTTGATCGAATAGTTGAAACAAAAGTCTGGAAAGAAGAAGATTAATAGATCCGTTCATTGAAACTGTCAGCTTGTGGAATTTGTATAAATCATTATAGTTTATAGGAACATATTGAATTATACCTTGCTGTCTTTATCAGCGCTGGTTGTGAGGATATTGAAGAAACTAGACAGAGAAGGATTGCCTTGGAAGTTGTCTGGTGAGATACCAAACTGAGAAACGATAACATTTCATTTCAGAACTACAGAGAGAATATATAATCATTCAAGAACAAGAAAGCAAGGAAATGCAATTTTTTTTTTGTCTAACTGTGTAGGTAAAAGAAACTCTAAGAAGAAAACAGCAATCAAAGCATACTTAAGAGCAACAAAAAGGTGAGAACTATATTCATATTCTGCAGAAAATTAGAGGGCTTATGAGATACTAACATAGTGGTTCTGCATAACCAAACAGTCTGTACTAAGCTTTTTCAACAGCTCTGGAGGAAATCTGCAAATATGAAACATTACAATTATATATCGTTCTTTGGATCACTGAAAAGCTAAAAGCATAGCTATATGTACCTTTGGAACACGGTAGCTTCGATATTAACATTTTCAAAAAACTGGAGACTTGATGCATAGTTTACTGAGTCAAACCTTTCAAGAATGTCTCTGTTCTGTTACAAAACACAAAATCGTCAGAAATTTAGGATGGAAACTGCATATCCCTCTCAGCTCAAGATTGAGCTTGCGTAGCTTAAAGCTCCTCTAAATATTAAGCAGTGTGAGCAACTTAAATTTATAACTCTACATATGTGGGAGTTGCTCTAAGAAGCAAGAAGGCAAAAGAGTGACCTGACTTATGATCATTGACAAAATCTCGAATCCAAGACACATGGCATACACCGGAAAATGTTCTCCAGCATCGTTCTTCTCCAAAACTTTCTGTCAGAAACATCAGGATTTCAAAAAGAGTTATTACATTGTTTTCTATTGTACAACACAAGCAATAGGTCAACGAAAACATATGCTCAGCTAACACATGAAATGAAAGCAACGGATAGTGTTTGAATAATGAGAACTTACATTGAAGATTTTCTCCACTATATCGTAATATAATCCTGTTTTAGCCCAACCACCAGTGAATATCACACCATTCACCAGTTCTAGCTTCTGCAATTCCCAAATGAATTCTACTGAGATGAAAATAATGGACTAATTTTGGCAAGCTATAGCCAAAACAATAAGATTGTAATAAGTGTAGCCAAATACAAGGTAGAACAAGTAATTGTAAGATTAGTGATTAGTAACTTGAAACAAGAGTTCTTCAGGCTCGTTGTAGATAAGAGGAATCACACGAGCTCCACCAGTCTCAGCTAACTTCACATACGAAGCTGCGATGTACGATATGTTCGTCGAGTAGGCGTAGCTCAGAGAGTGACGACCAGCGTCCCATCGACCTTCGCCAGGGTGGGTCAGAATCCCAATGACCGGCTTGTAGTTGAGGTTCGGATCCGGGGAGGAGCATACATGACTACTCCGTGTATCAAAGACGCGGGAAGAGTCAACTCGGATTTGACTTGGGAGGAAAATCGATTCGGCAGAAGTCGCCGCGCTAATATCAAAGAGTAGGAACGGTAAGCAGAAGTAGAATCTCCACATCTCAGAGGATGAAGATGCACGTCTCCAATGGTGGATTTATCCCATTGTTTGATTTCATATCAATCATTCTTCATCCCCGACGACCAACGTCCACCATCATTTTAATTTTTTTTACAAAAAAAAAAAAACGTGTGATTCCAATTATTTTAAATTTGTATTTATCTATATAATTTAATTATTCCCTATTGGGCTTTTAGTGAGCCCGTTACCGTTAGTCAGGGGCCATTATTACTCACTCATTCAAAGTTACGGATTTACCGGTAATCAATCTCAAAAGTCAAATGTTTATTTGCTAAAAACACGAACCAAACACAATTATATTTCTTTTGAAAGGATCTACTTTCAAAGAGATAAATCAACCAGGGAAATCATGCAGGCAAGATAGAAACAATCGGCTCCCTACAATGAAACTAGAAATCAGAGTTACAAACAAACACACAAGAAGACGAGTAAGTCCTCAGAAACGGGATCTTGGTTGTGTGAAAATGTAAACCTCGTCGTAACCCCTCCTGCAAGATGATATGATCCAAAGAACATCGTTAGGAAATCGTCAACAACAAAAACAAGAGACTTGTGTAAAGATTGTCCTGAGTGGCTTTACCCTGCGTATCCACAGTAAGTAGGCTTATAGTTGTATATGAGATTGCTTAGCACTTTCTTTGATGGTGGTCTGTTCAGTGACTTCCTAGCTTCACTGCAGCGCATTCAACCCGCAATCCATGAGAAAAACAAGTGCGCACTAGTTACACAAAGTTAACTAGTGCCATCATTCCAAAGTTACGGCATGCCGTTTTGCTAGAAAGACGAACCAAACACAATTACTATTTCTTTTGAAAAGGATCTACTTCCAAAGAGATAAATCGAAATCATGCAGGCAAGCAAAACAATCGGCTCCCTACATTGAAACTAGAAATCAGAGTTACAAACAAACACACAAGAAGACGAGTAAGTCCTCAGAAACGGGATCTTGGTTGTGTGAAAATGTAAACCTCGTCGTAACCCCTCCTGCAAGATGATATGATCCAAAGAACATCGTTAGGAAATCGTCAACAACAAAAACAAGAGACTTGTGTAAAGATTGTCCTGAGTGGCTTTACCCTGCGTATCCACAGTAAGTAGGCTTATAGTTGTATATGAGATTGCTTAGCACTTTCTTTGATGGTGGTCTGTTCAGTGACTTCCTAGCTTCACTGCAGCGCATTCAACCCGCAATCCATGAGAAAAACAAGTGCGCACTAAATGTGTTGGAGAAACTGTGAAAACGTTGAGATGAGAGAGAGATCTTACCTGACTAAATAACTAGCAGCATGCTGTGTCACCTGGATTGCATCCTCAGAGTGTGGAATCGCGGATGATCCCCATTCAAATGCATTTTTCTACAGAGAGTTAGTTAAGTGCAATAAGAGCTTTGTTTCTTTTCTAAAAATCAAAACTGTGCACTGAGAAAATAGGATTAGAAACATGAGTTTAATTGGCCAGTATACCTCAGGATGCCACTGGAAGCCAGTTATTGGGTATCTCTTTGCTTTAACAGTTGAAACATAAGTCTGCAAACGAAATATAATTACATCCGTTCGCAAGTCAGATTCTGAAATTCATAGAGTACTCTCATGGTTTATAGGAATATTATTACCTTGCTGTTTTCATCTATGCAGGTTGTGAGGATTTCAAAGAAACTAGACAAAGCAGGATTGCCTTGAAAGTTTGCTGGTGTGATACCATACTGGGATATAACAACAATCCGTATCAGCATTCAGCAAGCATATAAAAATGAGCCTATAAATAACTGTTTAGACATGGCAATCAAAAATTGCCTAACCACAGAGGTAAACAAAACAATAGGGAGAGAGAAACAACCAAAGCAGTCTTAGTGTCAAATTGCTCTCTTTAATACGTTAGCTTTGACAATTGAACTCCATATTCTGCAGAAAACTAGAGGTGGCATTACTAACCTTGTGTTTCTGCATAACCAAACAATCTGTACTGAGTTTTTTCAACAGCTCTGGAGGAAATCTGGAAATACGAAAACATTACATTTATATATTGGGAATAGTTGAGATCATTATAAACTGAAAAACGAAAAGGATCATGAAAAAGCTATGCACCTTTGGAATAATGTTCCATCGATATTAACATTATCAACAAACTGTAGGGTTGATGCATTATCCTCTGCATCAAATCTTTCAAGAATGTCTCTGTTCTGTTACCAATGACAAAGGATTTGAGAGATTTTAGAATGTCACCTGACTGAGAGTTTGTACTTAAGGAAAGAAGAAGAGAGTCACCTGACTGATGATAATTGACATAAGCTCGAATCCGAGACAAATGCCATAAACTGGAAAATGCTCTCCAGCATCATTTCTCTCCAAAGCTTTCTGGTGAGAAACACAAATAATTGGAATTCATATTCGGTGAGCAAAGCAAACAAATAAGCGATAGACAGCTTACATTGAAGATTTTTTTGACGATCTCGAAATAATCATATTTTTTAGCCCAACCACCAGTGAATATCACACCGTTGACCAGCTCTAGCTTCTGCAGTTCCAAAATGTAAATCACCAAGAAAAATAACTTGGATTAAAAATAGCAAAATTCAAAACTAAATTAATTATATCAGCACGAGGGATTTGGGAACCTGAAAGAGGAGTTCTTCAGGTTCGTTGTAGATGAGTGGGATAACACGAGCTCCACCTGCCTCAGCGAACTTCACATAGGAAGCCGCGATGTACGTGGAGCTCGTATCATTGGTCAACCGACCGGACGCGCCATCTCCAGGGTGACTCAGGATACCGATGACCGGCCTGTAGTTCAGGTTCGGATCCGGCGAGGAGCAAACCGGACTCCCTGAACCGTCAAATCCGGCTTGACTAGGGAGCAATATCGTCGACTCGGCCAGACCTGTATCACTCCAAAGTAAGAGTAAAAACGGTAAACAAACGTAACGCCACATCTCCGAGCAAGAAGAAGAAGAGTCAAATGGTAGAAAGACGAGAAAGAGAGAGAGTGACCTGAGTAAGAATTACTACGATTCAGCTCTTCTTTATATAAGCAATTGTTGTCGATCATCTGATTCTTCTGCGCAAGTTGTATGTATCTCAAATTATTCAATTCCTCGCACACTCTTCCACCATAACCAATCCACCTTCTCTCTTAAATATTCATTTACACCAAAAACGTGGATATGTATTTTATTATTACTAATTAATATTTATATTATCAAAATAGCCCACCTGTCAGAGTGGATCCACATTCTTTTTATTTCTTTTAATTGTAGAAGCCAGCGACCGATGCACTCAACCTGAAATACAGGGTAAGTACGAATTTTTTAAGACATGACAAGTTTAACAAGAAACGGCTCAAAAGTGTTTTTTTAGAAACAATGGATCAAAACATACAGTCAGATGAATCTATGTTCTGATTTTGATATATATCCTCAATCAAACATAGCAAACAATAAATACAAAAAGCCTTTTTAAACTTTCTTGAAGAAGGACATTATATTCCCTTGCTTTGGATCTTTGGCGTTTCCGCCTTTCTTGCTTCCTGCTTTTCCTCCTGCGTTTGTGGCTGCTGTGTTTCCCATGGCTGGGCTCTTCTTCTGCACAACCGCCCTGAAACAAGAAACTCAGATACATGCTTTTATATTGTATTCGGGTTTTACAACAACTTACAGATTGGCTTAATCATCTCTGAAAACATACCTGTTAACAGCATTTGCGCTTTTGCCATCATTTAACTTCTTACTTGTATCAGTGTCCTCTTTCTTCTTTGGAAGCGTTTCTGTCTCCTCCCACACTACCTCAGTTACTATATCCAGCCAACAGAGAATTGTTTAAGTAAGAGACATTGACATACATGTGTTTATTTTTGTTACTATTTAGAACGATATTGGATGCTTAGCATACCTTCTCTCCCACGATCATCAATCCGTGACTTCAACACCTTTTTCCTTTTCGGTGAACTAGGAACTTCAGTAGTTCTTCCCTTTGAGGGATTCACTTTAGCTTCAGAACCAATGGCCTGGATCTTCTCCATTGACAAAGTAGTACAAGCAGTTTTTTGCCTGTCTTCTTTGCTGACCTCTGGTTCCTCAGATTTTATCTCTCGATCTGCATCAGGCTTCTCTGGACCTGAATCTTCGGAACTGAGTTCCACATCTGGACGTGAATTAACCTTTGGACTACTAGGAGATGCTAAGCTGATTACATCTTCATACTCGTCATCTGAAAAATCAAATATCACCTTCCTTTTTCTGTTATCATTTTTAGGCGCTCTCATGAAATTGACATCTCGAGTCTCATCATCGCTGCCTCCCTTATTGTCGGTATCATGAGAAGGTTTTTCGGCTTCTGCACCAATTACAGAACATTATATAGAGGAACAAAGCTAGCTATAACAGACACCAAGGAAGCCATAGCCATTGATCAGTACCTAAGGTGGATGGATTAGAAAACATACCCGAATGATCAGTAATATAATTTTTGACCTCTACTGTTGGAGTATCATCTTCTGTTTTCATAGGCACACGGCCCCACATATTTTTCAACAAACCACCAGTTCCAGTCACCTTCTTTTCGCCCTGTCCATTCTTTTTATTAGCGGGCACAGGAAAAGCTTTTTCTTTATCCAAAGAGGATTTCGCAGACTGATTTTTAGCTGGAGCAGCAGTAGTTTCACTCTTAGCCTGATGGACAACATTATGGCTTGAGTGCTGAAAATTCTTTTCCTGGTTTGACGGCAATGTACTCTTTTGAAAATTTAAACTACTATTAGATCGTCCTGTAGTTCTCACAATTTCAGTTCGCGGGGCCGTAACATTTCCAGTGGTTCCCTCTATATTGCGCTTTACACAAGAATTGGAGACGCCACAAAACCTGGTATAAAAGTCACACCTCTCTAGTTAGAATGGGCAAGGCTGGTCAACAGTACTGGACAGCTTTCATGCAATAACAGAAAAGTTGTACCTGTTGCCTTTCAAGCAATTATCAATGGCTGAATGCTGCCTGAAGAGTTCTTCTGCTTGCACAAACTCAGTGTTCCATATGGCTGCTGGATCCATTGGAATACTAGCTTGAACACTGTAGATATGTACTGAATATTTTCCATTGAACTCTTTCTCCACTTCTGCATAGAAGTAATGATAGGGAAGTGTCAAATCATTTTCGCTTTTGCCATCACTTAACTTCTTAATTGTAACATTGAAGTAAATAAAACAACATTTGACATAGTAACTACTTGGTGAAAATAGAATCAGTAAGATGAAAAACCAAAAGACTAGCAAGTTTCATCATTATACAAAAGACAGTCATGAAAAATAACAAAGAGAAACGAGGTCGCCGAATGAGAATGAGACCTGGAAGTTCGGTGCTAGAAGCAAGCCTTGCGTGGTAATTCGAAGGTCCGTTCTTTAGCAACCCAGACACAATATATACAACTTCCAAACCCTTCCCTTGTTTCTCTACAAAATCCTTGAGCAACCTAATAACAAACGAGCCCCAGGTTTTATACAAAAAGAAAACTGCAGTAGCTAAAATCTATTGAAGTCCCAATAGAGAGGGAACAATGTACCTCTTGGCAGTATTTGATGAAAGCGAGAAATTTCGACTCAACCATTTGTAAGATACCTGAAACCAAATGGATTGAGCAAATCAGTAATTATAAACCAAATGACTCAATTTTACATAACACCTCCGAATCTCAGGACTAATGCAACAACAAACTACAATCTCAGAAGCTTCGGAATTCAACAATTAACCCTAATCCGATCAGCAATAAACGATTTGTTGACAAATTTTAAAATCACTGAAGTGGGAATCGAAGAACCCTAACCAGTAAAATTAAGGAATCGAGAAATGGAGAAAGAAATCGGTAATTACCACTTGAAGCTGATCGGAGACAAGCGATTCGATTTCATCGAGAATATTTAGGGTTTCGGTGTGAGTCATCTTTTCCGATTTCTCAAATTTGGGAGGTTTTTCTTCGAGACGATGTCTGAACTTCCCGCCAGTTCTCGCGCGGCGGGTGCTCTTAAAGGAAAATGAATTGACATCGATTCGATGTGGTTGTGGAATTGCTGTACGCCCGTGCCACTCACGTGATAACGCTATTTTGTGTGGGCTTGAGCCGCGAAAGCCATTTTCCTATTGCTATTATTTGCTCTTAATGGGCTTGTACATTCAGGTTAATCGGTCCGGTTTCCTTCGACTACTCCTGACCAAATTACGGTTTAAGTTAACTAGCATAAAATGAAAAATATTAAATCATTAAAACACGTCTATATATACGTGTCCCTCCCGTCAATATCGCAGTCTCACGATTCTCACAACAGTTTCTCTCTAAAATTGTTTCAACGATTAACTCTCCCAAGTTACTGTGTATCTCCGACGAAGAAGCGCGAGAGATTCCTAAAAGGGTCTTTCTTTCTTGCATCCAAGGAAACAGTGAGGTCGTCTCTCTCCGGCGTTCCTCCATCTCCGGCCAAGAATCGCAGTACTCATCTTTCTTGACATCCAAGGAAACAGAGATCTCTATCTCCGGGAAAGAAGAATCGAGCCAAGAACCACGAAAATACCACTCGAGATCCTTTCTTGCCATCAAAATATAACGAAAATGCCTCTCTTCGTCCTCTCTAAATCTTCAGCAACGAAGAGTCAGACGTTTATGAGCCAAGAGCAGCAGGGGACGTCTCCGATGAACACAGACGAAGCCTTGAAGGGTCATCATTGCTTCTGGAAAACCCCAAATTACCTTGAAAGTAATAACATCACAGCTAGTAATTAAAATATTTGGCCAGAAAAAACTTCTGTGCTTCCTATCATCTCTGAATACCTTCACGTCTTCTTGTGTTTGCAGGTACTCTGTCTAGAAGATACCAGAGTAACTTTTCGCTTGGCTCACAAAGATTCTCTGGCCAGTTTCTGATGATCCCTAACCCTGGATTTGTCGACATAAGTTCGATGACAAATAGTCAGGATACCAATCCAGCAAGTTTTCAGCCTACCAATCCAAAGATTATCTTGAAAGAGGAAAAAGAAAATGAGGAGCAACAGTACTGGACCATCAAGAAGGAACTGACCAAGAGCAATGTTGCCTACGGTACTTGCCGTCGACTTACTCTGTCAAAAAGCTCCGTTGAGGAGCACATTCTGAAACATCTCCTTCCAGAAGATTCCAAAAAGATAGACAAAGGCAAGCCCGGAATCACGGTTATGGTGTACGACCACGATACAGACACTGAGCACGAGCTCTGTCTAGCATTCCAGCGTAGCTATGTTCTAAAGAATGGTTGGGTTAAAACATTTATCAAAAGGAGAGGCTTGGAGGAAGGAGACAAGATTGGTCTCTTCTGGGAATGCTCTACTTATAAGCTTCATTTTAGTGTGCTTTCTCGTGTAAAGACAAAAGCTCCAGCATAAGAAAAAGAAGGTAAAAAAAAAGAAAAAGAAAAAGAAGCTATTAATCCAGTAATCAATCTCCAATGTATTAAGAGTTGCTGCATTTTGTTATCTCATTCAGAAACGCTTATTACCAAGTTGAAGAGTAAGTTTTTTTTTTCTTGTCAAACAGTGATTAGCAGTTAAGCAGTGTTGCTTATGATACATGTTTAGCAGTTTAGGTATCCAACTTGAGAATTAATTGATGTGTTGTAAACAAACAATACTTCAAAATAGATCTTATGTTTTAATGTGCAACTTTTGGTTCTTCTTATTTCCATATATAGCAACTTTCTAAGCATTCACCTTTAACCAAATGTCCCCAGAAAACAACTTAAGTTATATGAACAAGAACTTCACATTATCGTTGGTTAGTCACAACAAGCAGTGTATAATGCTAATGCTTATACATAAAAGCCAGGATCAAGAATTGTCAAAGCAATTTTTTTTTTTGGGCTTGAAGGCCTAAAAGTTTTTTTTTTTTGGTCAACAGAAATCCTAAAACTATTTAATTAATAATTTCTATAGTTTGTTCACTTTTAAAAAATTGTGAAAATTCATTTCACCTTATCATAAGCTTTACTATATCCGTTTTAATGGCCATGAATTTTCCTTTACACGACGGGTTAGTTCTCAACCCGTCACGTCTATATATGCGTGTCCCTCTCTAGCTAATATTATGAGTGAAGAAGAATCACGAGTGCCATCCAAGAAAACAGAGGTCCGTCTCTTTGGCGTTTCTATACCTCTCTCTTCTGCTTCTTCAACGAATTCAGATGAAGAATTGAAGAAGAATCATTGCTTAGAAGACCCCAAAAAGGGTTTTGTCTCGACGACCCTCTGTTTGTACGACGACACATGGCATTGCCGAAACGCTGATTACCCCAATGTCACTTGTGCTCCAGGAAATGAAGAACTAACAAGAAAGATTAAGCAATACGAGACAGGTCCATGGGTCATCAAGAAGAAACTGAACATCTTCGATATTCGCCGACAACTTTATCTGAGCAAAGCCGACGTTGAATGCCACATTCTGAGATATCTCTCTGAAGATGACCAAAAGAAACTCGTACAAGGCGATGGAATCATAGTTCACATGTACGACCACGAATCTGACACTTCGCAGTTCGCACAATGTGCATCTGTTGAGGTGGATTTCGAAAACGAATTATTGTCTAAAGGATACCTGCCGCCAAGATTTTGCTCACAGAAGAGGTTGAAGGCAGGAGACATGATTGGACTCGCCTGGGATCGTTTTAATTATAAGCTTCACTTTCGTGTTCTTTCTCGTGCAACCGCAAAAGCTCCTACAGAAGAACTGAAGCTATTTCACTAGAAATCTCCGGGAGAGAGAGATTGCCTTTCCAAGTCGGGCATTAATACAGATACATTTGGATTCCTAGGGACGCAGAAGATTGGTTGATTTTCTTACTCTTTGCGAAGGTTTGTTACCAATTGAGGAAGATTTTGTTAATAGTGATTCTGTTGCTTATGGCAGTTGTTGTGGTAGCCAACTTAAAATGAAAATTTGAAGTGTTCTTTACTAATTGGTTTTGTTATTCATTACATGTCATCTTTATCATGTTGAAGATAGATAGTCAGCAACAAAAGATTGAATGAGAAATATGTCACATTAGAAAGCTTTATAGCATAACAGAGTTGATAGAAGCGATAACAAGAATCTGCAAAGCCTCCTCTGGTTTTGTATGAAGAAACTACAGAAACCTGAGAAGAAAAAACTCTCTGCGATTGGCGATAATGGAACAGTGGAGCTTAGTCGATGTTGTGCGGTGCTTCTATTTTTGCAGCTGTATTCTCTTGTCCCTAATAGGCAAATCAAGCGGCTTCTGGGCCTCGTGCGGATGGTCCGGGCCTTTGTACACCTTCAGGTGATTGAACAGAGCTCTCCCAAGCTGCCAAAAAATGGTCGGACCAAAGTTAGAGGGAGTTAAAAAAAACTAGTCATCAATCAATATCATTATCACCCCAAGTGGTTTACTAGTTTAATCCATAAAATGGAAGAAAAACTGTTTGCTCATTGTTAAAAGAGACTAATAAAGAGCTTTGAATTGATGTATCTAACCCGTCCCTTTGGAAGCATTCCACGAACAGCATGCTCAACAATTCTTTCAGGAATTCTCTGCTGCAATTGATCAAATGTTTCTACTGTCATACCACCAGGTCGTCCTGAATGCCTCCTGTACAGCTTTTGGTTCCGCTTCTTTCCAGATACAGCAACTTTCTCAGCATTCACCTTTAACCAAACAACCGAAAAAGGTATTAGAAGTGCCAAGTTACAAACATTGCCCAAACATCTACATAAAAGTTTAGATCTTCCTGTTGATTGTATATCTCATTAAAACCAGGTCACAGGCTCTTCCATCTAGACAAGAAATTAAGTAAAGCAAATCACATTTCTTATTCTCTAAAGATAGCTCAAGAAACTCATACCACAATCACAAAGGCTCCCATGTCAACACTGGGAGTGTAAGAGGCAAGATTCTTCCCACGGATGTGATTAGCAATTGTTGATGCCAATCTACCAAGAATTTTGTCAGTTGCATCAACCACAAACCAGGGCTTATCCGTGTTCACATGGTCTGAAGCTTTTGGATACCATGTCGTGTTCCAGATGTCCTGTAAACCATAGAATACACTCCATAAAAGTTTCAAGCAATGTCTTTTAACTTCTCTCCAACCAAACATAAAGAAGTAAAACTTCCAAGTTAACAAATTCATAAGAACAAACATCAATTCTCAAAGCCATTTGATTCAGACAACACAGATATGGAATCAAAGGTAAAATCCCGGAACAATGCTATACTTCAAATTCCCGGAACGTTCCACAAAATTCCATGAAAATTTCAGAGCAAGAGCTAAAGTTCGACATCTTATAGCACACAAGTTTCAGAGAGGCTAAACAAAGAGGGAGATAGATAATCGTTACAGGGCCATTAGCTTCTTCTTCGTCGAACATCCATCGTTGATTCGCCGGAACAAGAGAAGTCTTCGTCGTCGTCTCCTCAGCTTCACACTTCACTTGCAATCCTCTTTTCGAATTCGCATAAATGCCAACTCTTACCGACGGCTTCGAGAACGCCGTTAGAGAGAACCCTAAAAACGGAGACTTTCTCTCACTACCGGAGGGTTTCACTGAAGAAGAAGGGAGTATCACCGTCGAAGACGAGCAAAGAACCGTCATTTTTGTTTTTCTCTCTTCTGCAAAATTCTTCTGCTCTTTTCGATTTCTCGGATAAGATTGGGTTCTTCAGTAAATGAAATAGTAGTAGTGGCACTACTGTAAATAAACTCATTTCCAGGACCGAACAATAAACATAAAACGGGTTAAGGATCTGGTTTGTTCAGAGCTCCGGATCCAACCCGAAACGTTGATTTTTTTTTTCTTAATTGATTTTTTTTTTCTCAATGTGAGAAAGGTCTTCGGAAGCAAGCTAAGTCATGGCAACGATTTCGTCTACTCTACTACTCTTAAATTCTTCTAGATCAGTTTCACCTCTGAGATTCCCAAAATTCTGGGGATTTTCTTCTTCTGCTCCATTCGCTAGATCTTGCCGATTTGGACGACGTAATCTGGAACCCCTTTCCAACGGAATGCTTTCGTCGGGAAGTAGAGCCGACGGTGCTACGGCGGCGGCTGCATCGATGGAAGGAGTGATGACGGAGGCGATGAAGCTGATTCAATCGGCGTCACCAACGTGGAAATCAGCCGTGGCTAACAATTTGTTGATATTTGTTCTCGGTTCACCGCTTCTTGTTACAGGATTGTCCGCTTCTGGGATCGCCGCCGCGTTTTTGCTCGGTACTTTAACTTGGCGAGCTTATGGCTCTGCTGGTTTCCTCTTAGTCGCTGCTTACTTCGTCATAGTAAGTGCATTTTGGTCACTGACTCTTAAACATTAGAAATTTGCTCATTTGATTTTGATTTCGAGCAAATGAATGAAGAATGTCGTTAGAGTTTTAGGTTAATTTTTTGTTTTCGTGATTTTTAGGTTAATCACGTTTAAAAGCATAATTGAAGGGGTGTTATTATGTTTGCCGCACACTCATTTTGCAATAGATTCTGGCGTTGAAGTTGGTTTAGATGATTTACAATATTACAGGGAACAGCGGCAACAAAGGTTAAAATGACGCAAAAGGAAGCACAAGGTGTGGCGGAAAAGAGAAAGGGCAGAAGAGGACCACGCAGTGTGATTGGTTCAAGTGCTGCTGGTTGTGTCTGTGCTTTTCTTTCAATATATCAAGTGGGAGGAGCAGCTTTTTCCCAGCTTTTCCGGCTTGGTTTTGTTTCCAGTTTCTGCACTAAAGTGTCTGACACCGTCTCGAGCGAGATAGGCAAAGCTTATGGAAAAACAACGTGAGTATGCTACTGTTATCCAGCTCTATAGCCTCTTCTGTGATGCGTATGTCTGTTTTCTGTCTTAAGTATGACATGGACTTGTGATGTCATAACATGTATCCAATTGACAACTGAAATGATATGCATTCATTTTCTTCTCTTAGTAACCGGTGGAAAGTTGCAGGTATTTAGCTACCACATTTAAGATTGTACCAAGAGGAACCGAGGGAGCTATGAGTATTGAAGGAACATTGGCTGGACTTTTAGCATCATTTTTTCTTGCATCTGTTGGCTGTTTCCTGGGTCAGGTAAAAGAGTATTTAATATGTTATTTGCTACCAAAATTTCCCTTTGCACATCTTCTTTATGTTGATTATTACACGATTTAAATTTCTTTTCCCTTTGATCTCTTGAATACAGATAACTCCTCCTGAAGCAGCTGTATGTGTACTAGCTTCCCAGATTGCCAATCTTGGGGAGAGCATAATAGGTGCTTCTTTTCAAGACAAAGAAGGATTCAAATGGGTATGCTCACTTCAATGAACACATTTTCTCACTCTGTCTACTTATTGCCAATGCAAGAAGATGATAATCTGATGAAAATACCGTCACTTCTGACAGAAAAACTGAGTGGAAAAAGATATCCGTTCAATACAGAATTTTTTGAGTTTTGGTCTTATGAATCCACTCCTTGCAATTAGTTTACCAACAAAAGAAGAATGCAATGTATTTTGTCTCATGTTAGTCACCATTTTGCTGTTTGTAGCTAAACAATGATGTAGTCAACGTGATCAACATAAGCTTGGGAAGCATCGTGGCGATTTTTATGCAACAGTTTATACTCCAGAATTGGGTCAAGTAAAACCTGTCACGAAGGTCATGTCTTCTCAGTGAGGTTAGATTTTTTTTCTTTCTTTTTTCTATTGTTAAACACCTTACGTATTCAGTTGTGTTGTAAATTACACTCTGTTGTGTACAATTAGTAGTCCAACATCAATGAGGGGATATATAAACTTCTGGAACCCTTGTCTAACAATTATTGGATGATATGTATTTGAATTAAGTCCACCTTTGAAATTGTCCCGTAGATAGAGAAACTTTTAAAATCTCATAAATCTCTTGTCTCGATAGTTCTTCTGCGTAGGATCCATTCACTTGATCTCTTCCACTTCCTTCACATGAAATCCAAACTCTATTGCGACATCAGAAATTGAAGAAACTGTAAAAAAAATACAGGTAGAAAGTAGAGGAAGTAGTGATGTAAATGTAAGAAAAAGGCAACAACAAAGTATCAAAAATTGGTTGAGAAAGAAGTAGAAAAAAAGGTCGTGATTTTCTCGAATACATTCTTCCTTTTGTCATTATGATGTCGTGTTCCTATCATCTTTTTTATATTCTCGTCGTTGCGTAAGATAATGTTTCTGGTGGCCAATTTTAATTTAGATGCCTCTAGAGAAATAAAACTAAGCATCAATCGGCCTAGCTGTTATACAGCGAGACTTAACAGGCCTGCTACTTTAAAGATGAAGAAAATTTATACAATGCGTTGCTTTTACGAACCTTTGTGGTCCGCTATACGATACGACGATGGCCCATGGGCCGCGACATTTGTCTAATACAGCTGACAAGTGACAACCACACGCGCTTCTAAACGCGTGAATTCTACCGCTGATATTCACCGCCGCAAATCTCGCTTTTTCTTTCTAAAGTCAAATCTCCGCCGCGCCGCGCATGAAGAAGACTCTTGCTGCGCTTTTTCTTATATTTGTCAAATGTTTTTCACTTTCTTGGTTAAATTTTCTAACATGGGTTTACTACTGGCTCCATAATAATGTAAGTTTGTAACTTTCTTATTTCTGGAACTTTTCTTGTTCTAAAAAAACTACTTTTTTAAATTAATAACTTACTGTATTATATAATACGACAACCCCTAACTAAGCCATTAAATACAATATTAATCGTTTTCCGTGAGTTCATTCATACATGTGACGAATGTCCCTTCCCCACAAGGCCACAAACCTAACCTATTAAACAATACCAAAAATGGAATAATTTGATTTTTTTAAAATTATATGCTAGCCTAAAATCAAACAAAATATGTAAAACGATATCCACAAAACAAAAAGAATATAGTACTGTATTAAACAAAAATTAGTTTGCCAAAGCTTGACGAAAAGAAAAAAAAAAAAACGTAAGTGGTTCGCCGTGAGTAAGTTCCCATCTTCTTCTCGAACTTTGCCAAAGTTTGGTATTGGAAAAAATAATAATAATATTAAGACAGAGAGAGAGATGATCTCTGTGTGTCGTACAGATTTCAAAGTGATGATGTTGGCAGCGATTGGCTTACACGCGTCGTACCTTAATTAGATGATTTTATTTCCTACTAACTAGTCTCTCTTCTCTCACATAGAGGAGTCATCACCAGCTCTGATGAAATAAAAGCGTTTTCTCTTCTAGCTTTCACAGTTACCCAAAAGTGTGATTTTTTTGCCTTTTCTTTCCTTCTCTAATCGGTGTTGTGTACGCCAAACCTAGATTTCGCTGTATCGTTGAGTTATGGCCGTTGATTCGGCTGACCGGCGAGAAGTTATCGTCAAAATCGACGGTGATAACAATGGAGTCTCCGGAGAGACTGTGGGAAGAATATGGAGAGACGGAAGTTACGATTTTTGGACTGATGGTGAAGGTAACCTCAACAAAGGTCATAATGCTGCGGCGGTTGATTCCGATAGATCCGCCGCCACCACGGAGGAGCAACAAGATGAGGGTTTTGAGTTTCGGCGCGGCGAAGATCCTCCCACGAAGCTTATTGGTCAGTTTCTCCATAAACAGCAAGCTTCCGGTGAGATTTGTCTTGATATGGACTTAGGTATGGATGAGCTTCAATCTAGAGGTTTAACTCCGGTATCGGAATCTCCCACGTCGGCGAAAGTGCCTACCAAACCTCCTGACCCCGTGGGAAGACGAGACAGCCGCAGTAATAACAACAATAACGATGATGGAGAAGTTGTCAAGTGTAGTGGTAATGCTCCGATTCAGAGAAGCTCTAGCAATTTGCTGAAGATGAGGACTAAGTCACGGCTTTCGGATCCGCCAACGCCTCAGTTGCCACCGCAAACGGCGGATATGAAATCGGGTAGGATCCCGAAATCCGGGCAGATGAAATCTGGGTTTTTCGGAAAAAGCCCTAAGAATCAAGGGGAGGAGGAAGAAGATGATCCATTTGCTGCGGAGGATTTACCAGAAGAGTACAGGAAAGATAAACTTAGTCTATGGATTGTGTTGGAATGGTTGAGTTTGATTTTGATTATAGCTGGCTTTGTTTGCACTCTTGCCATACCTTCCTTGCGTAGGAAGAAACTCTGGGAACTTCAGCTATGGAAATGGGAATCAATGGTTTTGGTGTTGATCTGTGGTAGGTTAGTGTCTAGTTGGATTGTTAAGATTGTTGTCTTCTTCATCGAAAGGAACTTTCTTTTGAGGAAAAGAGTTTTGTATTTCGTCTATGGTGTCCGAAAAGCGGTGCAGAATTGCTTATGGTTAGGACTTGTTTTACTGGCTTGGCATTTCTTGTTTGATGAGAAAGTGGCTAAAGCAGCTAACACTAAGGCGCTTCGGGTTGTGACTAAGATCTTTGTGTGTTTGTTGGTTGGGTTCTTGTTGTGGCTCGTGAAGACACTGTTGGTTAAGGTTCTTGCTTCCTCGTTCCATATGAGCACTTACTTCGATAGGATTCAAGAGTCTCTCTTTACTCAGTATGTGATTGAGACGCTCTCGGGTCCTCCTTTGATTGAGATCCAAAAAAACGAGGAAGAGGAAGAGAGAATCAGTGTTGAGGTTAAGAAGTTTCAGAATCCAGGAGGTGTTGAGATTCAGTCAGGGGCTCAGAAAAGTCCAATGAAGACCGGGAAAAGCCCGTTGATCTCTCGTGTTCTATCTAATGGAGGAGGAGGAGGAGGAGGAGGAGAAAACAAAGGGATTACGATCGATAGCCTTCATAAGCTGAATCCTAAGAATGTTTCTGCATGGAAAATGAAGAGGCTGATGAATATAATCCGGAATGGATCACTTACCACTTTGGATGAACAGCTTGAAGATCCAAACTTGGATGATGATAAAGGAAACCAAATCAGAAGTGAGTTTGAGGCAAAGCTCGCCGCAAGAAAGATCTTTCATAATGTTGCTAAGCCAGGATCAAAGTAAATAAAATCACTTTTTCGTTTATACAAAGCCTTTACCAGTATTGCTTTGTGGATATTAACATTTTTTTTATTTAGGTTCATCTACGCGAATGACATTATGCGGTTTCTGCCGGATGACGAAGCTTTGAAGACTTTAAGTCTCTTTGAAGGAGCATCTGAGACTAACAGGATCAGCAAATCATCTCTTAAAAACTGGGTGGTAAGAATTTTGGAATGAATATACATTCTTTAATGTATTCAGATACTAATGAATATGCGCAAACACTTTTTCATAGGTGAATGCTTTTAGAGAAAGAAGAGCTCTTGCATTGACCCTAAACGACACCAAAACAGCAGTAAACAGGCTTCACAAGATGGTGAATATCGTGGTTGGGATCATCATACTTGTTATTTGGCTTATCATACTTGGAATCACTTCCACCAAGTTCCTCGTGGTCATGAGCTCGCAAGTTGTGGTTGTCGCATTCATATTTGGAAACATGTGCAAGATAGTATTCGAATCTATCATCTACTTGTTTGTGATACACCCATTTGATGTAGGCGATCGATGCGAGATTGATGGAGTCCAGGTAAATTCAAAAATCCAAACACTAGTAACTAAAAGTTCCATTTTCCAATTCTAATGCTAAAGAAACTTCTTTTTTCAGATGGTTGTGGAAGAGATGAACATATTGACAACAGTTTTCTTGAGATTTGATAATCAGAAAGTCGTGTACCCGAACAGTCTTCTCTGGACTAAATCCATTGGAAACTATTACCGTAGCCCCGATATGGGAGATGGAATCGAATTCTCCATCCACATTACTACTCCAGCTGAGAAAATCATCCTCATCAAACAGAGAATCACAAGGTACATTACAAATTTGGAATCACAGTTTCGGAAATTTTAGTTCCTGAATCCTTTTATGTATTCATTACCTGCATTCATTGTTGTGATAGTTACATTGAGGGGAAGAAGGATCATTGGTATCCGGCGCCGATGATAGTATTCAAAGACATGGAGTCATTAAACAGCGTGAGAATTGCGGTTTGGCCAACGCATCGAATGAATCATCAAGATATGGGAGAGAAATGGGCTCGAAGGTCTCAACTTGTTGAAGAAATTGCCAAGATTTGCAGAGAGCTCGACATCGAGTATAGATTGTATCCTCTAGACATCAATGTCCGAAACATGCCCACTTCTACTGTGTTGCCAGTTTCCGACCGTCTTCCACCAAATTGGAGTGCTCCAGCTTCTGGCAGCAACTGAAACTATAATAAAACTTTTTATATAGTTTGGATCAAGAGGTTCTGTTTTTCTCATTTTTCTTTATGAACTCTACAAATTTAGAATTTAGAATTTAGATGACTCTAATGTGATGTATAAATTTTGGTTCTCTTAATCTGCATAGCGGTCTCAAGGTGTTTATGGATTTTTTGGTTTATGAATACTGATTCTAATTTCGTTTCGTGCAAAATTAACGGATTTTTCTTTTTCTTTTTCTTTTTCCTGGTTTAACTGAATTGGTCTATTATTGGAACTCTTTCCCCAGGGATAGTGAACAAAATGATTAAGCTTCAAGCAAAATAGAACAGCCACCTATGAAAGACCATGTTAGCCAAATTGATAATTTAATAATTTAGTCCCTTATAATCTTCAACCAAATTAACATCTTTTTGAAACGACCTCTTCTTTGTTTTCTCAGCTAACAAAGAACATGGACTCTCACAGATCACTACATTACAAGTTTCCAAATCATTTATGTGATCTTACATCTACTGAGAAAAGCTGCCCATCTCTTTTCTCAAACGGCCAAAAGATAGTTGCAAATGTTAAAACCGTCGCCGCCGTTTCCCAACCCTTTGGTTCGGGGATGAACCGGTATAAGGAGTTGAAGAATTTATGTCCGGAACAAACACTGAGTGGTGGTGAAAATGCTTAGGCCAGTTTAGACCAGACGCTGTAGGTGGAGACTGAATCTGTGGAACCGCCCATGATGTCTCACCTCCCAAGCAGTTATTGTTATCTTCTCCATCTTCTTCCGCAGATCTCATCATCGAAGAACTGTCTGAATCTCCTCGCCTACAAGTATCCGCCTGCAACAAGAGTCAAGCTTAGAAAATGAGAAACCAAAATATATGAATCAAAAAGCCACAAGATTCATCATACTTCTTTCCAGTTTCTTCCCAAGACGCTCACTATTTAGAGTTTCATCTTGAAAACCTCTGTCTCAAGAATCAAAGAAGACCTCATATTATATACTAGATATAACTAAACCGTTACCTTAGATGATCCATTATTCTCCATGTATTCATAGCTCTGATCAAAGTCAGTTAGCCCGAAAATCTCCTCTATTTGCCACTGAGGAATGCTTCCAGTAGTTGATCCGCTGCTAGCGAAAGGAAGCTTTGTAGATGTGTGATCACTGACTTTAGTTTCCGGTAAAACTCCTTGCTGCTGATCGAAACCCATCTTTTGAGGCTCAGGTATAGATTGAACAAAAGATTTCGTCTCCATGGTTTTATCATCATTGGTTGGTGAGGATTTTGTAGAAGGACCAGTGTCTATAGATTCAAGACCAACTTTGATTCCAGTCAGAAGAAATCTCTGATGAGCTGAAACATGAGGATTCACAGTGTGGATTGCAACATCACATTTCCTACAAAGTAAAGCTCTATCTTGCAGACAGAAGAAGAATCCAGATGCTTCCTGTACAAAAATCCCAAATTTCAGAAGAAAAAAAACTTAGTAACCAAATCTCTAATCCTAAAAAGATTCAAACTTTTCTCTAAATATTGAGGATTTAAAACATGGGTAATCAGAAATCAGATCAAAGATTCGGGAAATCGAGAGGAAAATTCAAGAGATCAGACCTGACAAATGTCGCATTTGGGTATGGAAGAGGAAGAGACAGAGAGAGGGACTCTCTGATGTTTTCCGGCGAGTTTATTAGCAGCGTGAACTTTCTCATCGCAAGCCCAACACAGAGCAGCCTCGTCGGCGCAACATAGCACCGTCGCTTCCGCCGCCTCACAAACGTTGCACTGAATCTTCATCCTCTCTGATCTTTTTTTTATCTCCTCCAACTCATCCAGAACACCCAAAATCTGTGATTTTTTTTTTGTTGAAAAGAATCAAAAATCTCGACACAACGAAACTTATCCTTTTGTTTCTTGAATTTAGTGTCGGAGGAAAGACAAGTGGAGCTTGAGGTTTATGGTTTAAGCAAATCTTACGTTTTCTCTTTGGATTTGTTGTTGTTGTTGTTGTTGTTGTCAACTTTCTTTGATTTTTATTTGTCGTCGGAAAATGTGATTATTTATAACTTTCTGACTAATCAAATTAATTGAATTCATTTGGATTCTAGATAAGTCGTTGTGGGAAAAATATCGTTTATATTAGTAAAATAATAATACTATAAGAGGATTTCTTTTCAAATAGAGGGAGGGGGTCTCTGTGCACTATTTAAAAGTGGTGGGGTAGATTTGGAAATATGGAGGCGTTAAAGGAGAGATATTTGTTTAGGCTAATCTATGAGTGAACATTGGATAGACACGTGACAAATCTAATACAAGTGTCTTAATTGCAGGAGACAGTCTTTGCTGTCTCAAGCTGTAATGTATCAAAAAATAGATCACAAATATTTAGGTCCCCAAAAGAAATATTCGTAGATTTTTTTTGCTTGTAGATTTTTTTTCGGAAGAGAAAAGTTTAAAGACAAAATAAAATTATAAGCTGAAAGTGATTGATATGTATGTTCCAAGTAGAATATCTAGTTTCAAAACGATTGTCTATTCATTTTGACCATTTTTTAGAAAGAACCCATTTTTATTCTAGTAGTATGTTATAAAATTTTGTCCCGGTTCATGCATTTTCAGAAAAATCTTTCATTATGAAGATTATATGAATCCACGTATTCTTACGAGTGGAGGAGGCTAATTCGGACCTACATGAGACTAAGATTTTTATTCAACAACACAAGCCATAAACAAATTAATTAATTAATAGGCAAAGGACATTATATCAATCAATCATTAATAAGGTCCCATTTCGAAAACTATATTTCCCCAAAATTAACATTTTGCACGGAAATGATAAGAGAAATTCTAGATGATTTTGATACTATTATTTTTCTTTATATATGAATTTTATTTAAGAGGATCAGACACATCCACGTTCTTGGTAGGAGGAGAAAGATAGCTACTCGAATTAAACTTCTTCAAGCACCAAAGATTCAAGAATCAACGAATCTTTCGGACCAAAGAATCTTTTATAACCATATCTATAGACAAGTGGGCTAAAAGGGCTATCAATGTGTACCAACTCTTAACTTTATGAACAAATCTACCATTGTACCAATTCTAGTACCTTGATTTGATCTGAGAAATGCCGTGAGACAAGAAAACGTTTAAGACCGGCGCATCTGATGATATCTCGATTGTATCTCCGAGCTGCACGCTGTGTTGAACCTGACAACCGTCGATGTATATAGTCCCATGGTCTGAATACCAGTTAACATCCATGAATTGGTCCGGTTTGAAGGCAGAATGCATTAAAGAAGCAGTTGAACCAGGAGAGATTGGCTCCCTAACCATGAATTGTAGATCACGAGACAACATTGGCATCACGAACCCACCTGCTGACTGCATTGCGGCAGTTGAGCCAGCAGCTGTGCAGATTCTTAGACCGCTTGACCGGCAGTTCACTGTCTTTGGACTGCTCTCACCATTTTTGTTCTTAATCCTGCGCACATTGTAGAGAACATTGATTCATAAGTGTTGGATATTATAGGGGTGCCCAACAGTTTAACCGAACTGAAGAAAATATCACCCAATTCGGTTTTGTTATTCCATATCCGAACATACTGTAGGTGTAACCTTACCAATCTGAAAAGGAATAAAACCAATAAAACTTTTCTTTGTAAACCATTAAAATTATAGGTGTAGTTTCTACAAAACGGAATCCAAACCAAACCAAACTCAATGGTTTTGGTTTTTTGGGTTTCATATACCGAAAATCGGATTGGGCACCCCTAGTTGATATATCTGCTAATAACAACTCTATCCAATTGAACAAACAAGGGATTATGTCTACGCAAAACAATCAGGTTTAAGAGACTTTTTTAATCTTAGGAGCTCTTACTTGAATGAGAACCTTGAAACCGCGGCAGGGCATGGGTGTGCGATCAAAATGTCATTAAGTGCATGTGAAAGAAGAAGTTCTGAATTTAACTTCAATGATATTCTGGAAACTTTAGAAGGAACCACTCTGCCAAACAAAATGTCATCCAGTACCTGTGAACAAAACAAATAGCTGAATGTTCAAACCAAAATTGCGTAATCATTGAATGTTCTAAGGATCAAGTAAGAGAATAAATGGGCTGCCTAAAGCTCTTCCTTTATGTTTCTCTAATTGACTTACCTGTTCAAAATTATTAACGGTTGCAGCACAAAGATGACCAGTACTTCTACTAGCGTCAAACTGATCGCTCAGTTCTTCTACCTATAGTTATAACAAGACACTTAGCTACACATCATTTCACATTGTTTATTAATAGCAAAATGGTATCAGTCAGGCAATATGAGAAAGTCGCGCTACTAAAACCTCCTGAGCTTGTGTCGGGTCAGAATTGACTCCTAGAACCGGAACAGAATCATCGATGAAATGACTGGCATGCAAGAGGGTACCGTCTCCACCCACGGTGATGACCATATCCACATCACGAATGGGATGGGATAAGTCGTTACGTGAAATGGGTTTCCACTCGACAGGCTTCTTACTTAGTATTTCCTGACAGAAATTAATAGCATTCCTGTGTACTTTGCACCTGCTTTCCAGATATTTAAGAACCTGTGAAACAAAACAAAACAGAAAAATCCCACTTCCATCAGAAGCCAACTAGAACAATAACAACGAGAGAGGATCCTCAGCTAAGCAATTTCTTAGTTACTTATTTGCATACATATTTTGAGTAAACACTGCTGATACGAATTTCAAAATTCTCAATAAATCTGTAAGCTTTGCGTAGACCAAAAGAAGAAACTAAAATGTTCATAGAAAAGTTGCTACTTAATCTAGTCTACTTCACCGTTATCTTTATAACTAACATTTGGCACCATAAAAATACAAAAACGAAATCCTTTTTTCACGTAAATGTCAATGTTTCGGTTATACTCTGTGGGAAATTTGGTCGAACACCTTCAATACGAAACGAAAAGGACATGATCGGGATTCAAAAATCGAGATGAGACGCAATGGGGTACCTGGGGATTTTTGATGAGCGATGAACCTTCGGTTTGAAGAAATGGGTACGGATCAATCGGTTTCAATAGAAGCAAAAGCTTCCTGATCGCCATTCTCGCTGAATCAATCTCGAGCTCTTTCCCTCTTCCCTCGGCGGCGCGCTTACCGGACTTGAGTAAACCACGTTTGAAGAGAGAGATATTCCACTAGTCCCTCTGTTTCGTTTAAAGGGTCTCTACAAGAGAATATTATTCAAAAATCTTGGGCCCAACTAAGATCCTACTAAACTTGGCTTAGTTACAAAATAGGCCCAACTAAAATTCTACTAAATTGGCTAACTACCATGTAGCTCCAAAGCTGGAAGTCTGGCCCGTTTTGATCCTTGTAGATATTTCTGCATTTATATCATTGTCAAACACGTTTATGAATTTTAAGCTGCTTTTACCTGAATTTTGAACTTTGAATATCAAGTTTATATTTTAAAATATAAGGTTTTAAATGTTTTAGAATTTGGATATTATTAAAAATTTAGGGTATAATGATTAACGGATCAAGGTTGATAATCTCAACAGATATATTTTTTTCCTTATGCAAGATAAACATTTTTGGGGATCAAATACGGACCAACTCGGGTAGGTGTTTTTCGAGAGTTACATGTATGTAATTTACTAACACGCAGGCTGGGAATTTTCGCTCCTCCTACTACTTGGGATCATGTCCTCCTATGGCTTCCAACTGCTTTGCCAAATAAGTATGGCAAATTGGCGGTCTTACACGCGTGGCAAGGTGTAATTTATGAACTATGGCGTGAAAGAAATCGACGTTATCATGATGATCTCACTTTAAGGCCGACCGAGGTTGCAAAGCTTGTCCTTTCCACCATCGTCAACAAGTGTACTGCTTTGCATGAACTTGGATCAAAGAGTGCTTTACCTATTCTTCATTGTTGGATGCGCGTATGGTAAATGAGGGTATCGAGAATTGAGCTGACTTCTTCTTATCCATCATTATCAAGATATAGGCTTTGACATCTTCTTTTGTTAAGTACCTTAGTTGGTCTTCTTCCCCAATCTTGTTTCTGCTTATTGTTTGTTTCTTTGTATACTTTTTATGTTAAAGTTATATAAGAAAACCCTTTTACCAAAAAAAAAGAGAGTTACATGTTATACCGTCTTAAATATATATTAGACATTATGCATAAGTTTTACTAAAATACATTTTAGGAGTTAATTTTTGTCTCAAAACAATATTATAATTTATAACCATATTTCAAATATTTGAAGATCTTTCTTTTTGTTTACTTTTTTTTTCTCTTTTTTTTTTTTGTTTCCTTTAGGCCATCTGCATTGGGCCATCGGAGGCCACGTTCTTAACATTAAAATAATAAAAACAGTTGGCTTGGATCACCTTGGATAGTTCTTGAGCAAGATCTGTTTAAGCATTGTTCTTCTCCCCACAAGATCTTTTACATTATTTTAATACTTTATTTAACAACTTTTATTATTTTAAAAACCTTTAGAACACATGTCATGTTATACTGATACTTATGGTCTTATAGGAGTCATGTTCTAGGTGCATATTTCAAATTATATGCTAGACGGTCCTAACCGGTTCCGTGTCCTACCCTAACTCGAACTACAGTATTAGGGTCTTAACCCGGTCCTAACGTCTCGCCTAATGGGAAACAACTCTTAGTAGGATCAGATCCTCCGTATCGAGCGCAATCCTTTAAAGATTGTCCGGTCTAGAATCTGATCATAAGTGGGGTTAGTTTTGATATCGTACCGGACGGCCGGTTATGATCCACGTGTGTTGATAATTATGGTACTGCGTAGCGTTAGTATATAGTGGCCAACAGAACCTAAGAATTTGACCTCGAAATATCCGAATTCACGTGATTTTGTCTCTCATTTGGCCAATTTTAGTAAGCTATTGTACGAGCTCTCTAATTGAACAACCTAAGACATATCTTATAGTTTTGTCCACATATATTTTTTTTTTGAATGGTGACAAAATGGGACGAAATTAAACAATGCTATAACCTAAGAAAGCCACCAAACATAATACGGACAAATTATGGTGGATTGTACAAGAACGCATTTCCTAAGAAAAGGGTCATTGTATGCTTCACATATATTATTTTATTTAGCAATTATAGAATTTTATTTACTTTGAGTAGTTTAGCAGGAAAACAATTAATCACTACACATGCTTATAAGCGCATGAATACATTGAACACTGATCAGTCCTCCTTATTGGCTTATTAGTGACGAAACTAGTATATATCTTTGTTTTTGTCTTATGTCCATTGACTCAGCTGTAGTGGATGGTTATCGAGTCCTTAAAACTAGGGGTCAACAATTGTCTATACTGTGAATCCCTTGAATGAAACAAATTTGATTTCATCATGAATCCTACTTATCACCAAATAAATTGCGATTAATAATTTTGTATCTTTTCACTAATATATTAGGTAACCCTAGAAACGAATCTCATCTGTCCGATAAAAATCTCTAGAAGCTGGCAAGCAATATCATCTTTTCGTTTTTATCAACCAAAAGAAAAGGAGGCAGAAAAGTTGCAAGAAGTAGAGTAATAATTTAAACTTTAAAGCTAACACTACGTGCATGGAAAGATCAAACTACAAATAGTGACCATTCTCTAATCTTTATCTTTTTTTGACGCGTGGGGTACAATCTCCACATCGATTAGCCATTGTATTAGAATTTAGATTTAATCCAAGCATTTGCAATCACATCCAACTACAAAGCTCAATTTTAAATAGGCTAAATAAGTTGACCAAATATTAAATAGGCTCAAGATATATATCTTAATTAACTAGGTAAAATTCAAACTGATTTCTATTGATAAAAGTCATAATTATATTGCATCCAATAATTTTCTTTTAATTAGAAACAAATACAGTAAGTGTTATCAAATAACAAATCTGGACAAAAAGTAAATCTAAAGAAACCAAATCATTAGTGTTTTTACTCCTGTCGTTATCTTTCTTGGCCAAATTCTGCATAAGTAATTAAGTAACAATTTGCCCATCAACAGTTAAAACCCAAAAAACTTATTATTGTTAAAAGAAGAAATATATTAGTGTTTCTTAGATCTATATATAAAGTCATGGAACTATGGGCTAGTTGTGTAAATCTCTTTCTTAATTTACAATTTAGAATAGTGCTTAAATTTTAAGAGCATATATCTCTAAAGTAAAAAAGAAAACACAAAATTAGTGTGACAACGGCGAAACCACTGGCAATTTCTTAACTCTCAAGTTACATAAATGTAGATCTTAAAGCAATAAAAGAAACAACAAAAGCCATACAAAAAGTTAATTAAGAAAGACAAATAAAGTTTAGCAAAAAGTTACACATGCGACCACGAGAAGCATCTCTAATTTATTATATTTCTAAACTTAGAGTTAGAATCCATGGGGAAAAAAATTTCTTAGCACTTTACAAGTTGCAGCCTTTGTAAAAGATTCGATTTATTGTAGACTAATTTAAATCTTAGTCGTCTGAAAATGGAATTTCGTCCGCAACTGTATACTCGAACACGTTGACGCAATAAGATTTTATTTAAATATAACACGAATATAAAATAGTCATCGATTATATATTTGGTTAAGTTAATGAAATTATGCGATGAGTCAGATTGATACCCATGAAGTAAAAGTTATACGCTGACGTAAAGGTCGTCGTCGTGGTCTCTCATGCCACCTCTCATGCCACCAAACAAATTATTCTTCCCATTTGATTAAGCTTTTGGACCATACGAAAAGAGTAGTATAATATTGTGCAGAAATATAGAATTTAGAGTTTGCTTTAACAGTTTTTAAGGGAGGTTTAAAGTTTCGAACAGCTCTAAATTGTTAAGAATAGTTTTTTGTCAAAACTGTCTTGCACACAGAAATAGAAATAAAATTGAACTTTCATTTTATAATATACTTGGATCCAATCCAAACTATCTTTAGACTATTTATTTCCAAGCATAACACTAACTAATTTGTTATAGCATTTAAATAGTCACTCTGTACTGGACTGGCTAAACCAACTGCGTGACAATGGTTGATTAGCATGATGGCTCAATCTTTAATGTCACCCACCACTAACTCTTTGATGAGCTCGAACTCCCATGTTAGAGTTAAAAGAAGTGTGTGACTAGCAGTTGAAAATACCCAACTTACATTTTGGAAGAATTATATCAATGAATTACATAACATAGCAATTCAATAGTATAAGACTAATGCATTACACATCTCATTCCTCATCTTATTTATTTATTTATGTGATTATTTCTTAGAAAGTCTATTAAAATAATGTTGTATAAAAAACAAGATAAAAACAGACTTTATAATAATAATTTAGATTTTTGATATGGTTACTTTTTGTTGTGAGTGCCTGAGTGGAGTCCTATATTTTTTTTGTTTGGTTGACGAAAAAGAAGAAATAACAAAAAGAAGAAGAAAAAAAAGGGAATTTAAAAGGTGAAAAAAGGGGGAACAAATTCCCTCCAAATGATTGGGCCATAAACCAGAGAGAGCGAGAACAAGGCTGCTTCTCTTCTCTTCTCTATTTCTTCTTCTTCTTCTTCTTCTTCTCTCTCTCACTCTCCTCTCATTCGCTGGTGCGCTCAACGATCTATCTTCGTCATCCTCTGATCCCGCCGCTTCTAGGTTAGTGGTTAATTATTTCTCGTCTCTTCCCTTAAATCTCCTAATCTCATCGCGAAACCTTTTTCCGTTAGATTCGCTGATTTTGATAGCTGTTTTAATTCTCCTGGGATTCGATTTTGTTATGTTCTTATTTTCAATCACGATCACGATGATTGATTAGGTTTTCGTGGTTTGATAACTTGTGATCATCGATTGTTTTTTGAAACGGTTCCAGATTCGAATCATATATCTAGGTTTTTCTTCGTAATCGATTTTGTTTAATCTCTGATTCAAATCAATATCTAGTTTAAAACTAACTGATTTTGCTCTGTTTGAATAAGTTTCCGGAATTTCCAAAAACATTTGTCGACGCTCCATTGAATATTTTAGGTTCTGGAACTAATCTCTGACTTCAAATATCCTTATTGTTCAGTCAAAATTAAGTAGAATTTGATATAGAGGTGGATCACTTAGAACTTGATCTTATGGAATCATGCATAAAGATTACTCATAATGAAGTTTTTGAGCCATATAAAGAAGTAGACTAACGTT